CAGAGCCCCTGCGCCCGACTGGCCGGCGGCCCGTGCCCGGCGGACCCGGGCTTCGGCAGGGCTGTGCAGCTTAATTCCTGGGCCCAGGATGTCCTTCCCCTCCCTGTCCCACCGCCCGCTCTTTCAGCGGCCTAAGCCCCTTCACATTCCTGGAGCCGCCTTAGGCACCGCTTCCCCAGAGGGCCTTCGCTGAGAGCTGTGGGCGGCTTGTTCCCTGAGGTTACGTCTTGCAGCATCATCCGCTTTCCTGTTTCTCACAGGTCACACAAACACGCACACATGATGCACAGAGATGTGTGTGTGCCCGTATGTGTGTGTTTAAAGTGCTTAAAACGGCTTCTCTCCCCAAATGAGGAGCTCTGCAAGGTGAGAGACCGGAAGGTTTTTCACTGTCACCCTGGTGCAACACAGGGACTCAGCATAAAATCGCCGCATTTAGTCAAGATAACCAGAGCTAAAACTAGCCATGCTGAGGCTCTGTCCTGTTCACGTATGTTTCTTCATGCACCTGGAGAATGCCTCTTTATGAACAAGTGTCACGCGTGGCTGTGGTTATTTGTCAGTCGTCTGCCTCTTCCACCAGGCACTGATCTCTTCAAGGGCAATCCTCTGTGAATTCCATGTTTTTTAATATCCTGCATCCGACACGATGGCTGATGCAGACGATGTTTATAGAACTGAAACTTGGAATCCCAAGTCAGGTTAGCGGCAGAGGGAATGGGTCAGAAGGCAGTTTTGGAGATGGATGGCAACATACTGGATTCGCACAGCCTCGCCCTGGATGTTAGTATTTGAAGTGTAAAGGAATCCAGAGAGTAGTAAATGACAATTAAATCGTTCTTTCTCTGCATCTAAATACAACAGTTCTAAATGTGCACTCAAAAATAAAATACATCTACACCTAAGGAGATATTAGTGTAGCGTAAACACTGTGGCATGTCTCAGGAGCCGGTGCTGTTGGATTGCAGTAGGAAGCGACTGGAGAAATGAATGAGATGCTGAGCTATTTTGAATTATTTGACAAAAACTGACAATGACTACAATCCTCTTGTACTGCTTTATTACATGTTTATTTATGCATATTTTGGATAAACTATTAAATGCACTTATTTTTTAGACTAAGCACTTTAAGACATTGAAGTTATAAAGGTGAAATTATACCTAAGAAGCCAGAAACATCAATCAGAAAGAATATATGCCCCCCTATGTTCATAACAGCATTATTCACAATAGCTAAGATCTGAAAACAGCCCAAGTGCCCATCAGTAGATGAGTGGATTTAAAAACTGTGGTGTATTTACACAACAGAATACTATGCAGCAATGAAAAAGAAGGATCTCTTACCCTTTGAGACAGCATGGAGGGACCTGGAGAGTATTATGTTAAGCAAAATAAGACAGTCAGAGAAAGTCAAGTATCTCATGATCTCACTTATATGTAGAATCTAATGAACAAAATAAACTGACCAAAAAAAAAAGATCCAGAGACATGGAAGCATGGAACAGACTGACAGAACTCAGAGGGAAGAGGGGAAGGAGGGTGGGAAGAGATTAACCAAAGAACATATATGCATATGTGCATAACCCATGGACACAGACCATAGTTGGGTGAAGGCCTGGGAGGGGGTGGGAGCCTGGGGGAAGGGAGCAGTGGGGATACAAAGGGGACATGTGTAATACTTTCAACAATGAAGATAAACAAATAAATAAATGATGCAAGAAGGAATAAGGAGAGATGAGTATTCATAAGCGCATTTGTGTGCTACTTTAGCTACGTTTTCCGGATTTGACGGGTGCTTTCAGTGGGGCAGCAGATGAGACGGGATAAGTTGAACACTGTGCACTGTTAGCCGTGAGGATAGATGCACAGAGTTTAGGTTGACAGCAGGTAGCCGAGGGCGTTCCTTGCTGAAAGAGTTGGGGCCAGGGTGGACTCCAAAAGGTATAGAAAATGTTTGTCTTCTCACAGTCTGTTCTGTGTTCAAAACAAATGCCTACTTTGATTTTATTTTTTCTGAANGAAGGGGTCAATGGGGGGGGAGGGGTATCTGTAATACTTTCAACAATAAAGATTTTTTTTTTAAAAAAGGAGACCTTAATAATGTCAGGTTGGTAAACTAGATGCTTAATGTATGAATGTTCCCAAAATTCCGTGCACAAGTTGGGGTAGGTGAACTTATTCTCCTATAATGATTGTAGTATATGCAGCATGCTGCTGATGTACCAAGTCCTACCCTGTGTGTCAGTAACACTATATGCTATATAATGTAACCTCTCCATTAGAGAAAGAAGGAATCAAGGAAAGTGGTGCTCTGCGGGGGCGAAGAGAGAGTGCAATTCCAACTCCCCCTCTAGTTATCCCCTATTTAGTTACCTGATCTTGGGGCAAATTTCCTAATCTCTTTGAACTTCTTCTCTGTAATACTGGGGGTGCTATAGTAGTAATAACAAATAATCACTAACATTTTTATATGGGTTATTGTATGACATATTTTATTTTCACGCTTTGAATTTTTAACTCTTGATTTTCACATCAACTCTATGAGATAAGCAATATTATTATCCAATTTTAGAGATGACGAAAATTAAGAACAGAGAAGTTAAGCAACCTGCCCAAAGTTAAACAGCTAGCAAGTGGTAGAACGGAGTTACCAAGTCATTCTCTCTCTAGAGGACATGCTTTCAATCAGATCATATCTATCTGGTAAGAATTATTTGTTCATGCATGTAAAACACTTCATAGGCCTGGCATATTAAAAGTTATTCATAAAGTTTAGGTATTATTCTGGTACATAGAAAATGGAACAGATTGTCAAGGAGTGGCTCTGTTGTTGGTCATATGTGAACGCCAAAGTATAAAAAAGAATAAAAAGATAATTAAGGCTTCTCACCCCAAACGATTCTGTTAAAATTAATCATATATGACAGCAAAGTAATAACAACTTTGGATTTTATTCTAATAGTTCTGTAAACTATGTGGGGATAAGTTTAAGGGATTAAGAAATAAAGTTCTGTTGATTATAAAATAATAATTAGTACTCTGGTATAGTTTTAATTATTGTGCTTATTTGCAAGATCCATTTTAATACTGAAATTGTAACCTTGCAAATATTAAGTAAATGCAAATATGTACAAATATGCCAAGGTAAAATATTTAATACCAAGTAGAATCTGTATTATTATTATTATTATTATTATTATTACTGAAAATACCAGAGTTTTTGATAGAGCTTTTTCATACTTTTTCTAAATTTATTTTTTGGCTTAGTAGTATTAAATATATTCAATTCAAAATAAATACTGCTTATAAGAATTACATTCTACAAGTGTTTTTAATTTTAGGGTTTGAAGACTAAAATCAACATTAGAAAAATCTTTCAGAGAATTGTCTTAAACAGGACATCCTAGAACTAAGATAATGAAAAACTCTATAAAGTCCCTAAATATATTAACAAACATTTATTGAGCAAGCGCTCTATGCTGGACTCTGTATGATTCCTAATACCACTGACCATTATGGAAGCTTTTAATCGCCATGGGTGCGTCTAGTCTAACAGTAAAGTAGAGCAAGATAAGTTAACACAAATGTATTTGAAAAGAAATTTTTTAATAAAGAAATGCAAAGCATAGTACCACATTTAGCCTAGAGTGAGGGGGTAAGCCACATATTATATTTTGACACTAGGCTTGCTTACTTTTATCTTTGTCATCTATTAGCCAACCTCCCCAGAATAAAATGTGACTTCTTGAGACAGAATGGAAAACTCATCCAAAGTTTAATACAGTATGAATAGGTATCCTGGACAAATTAAAACCCCAGAACGTTAAGGCTGCAAACTCTTACTCTTCTGGGGAGATGAAAAGGTTTGACAGACAGTAAACAGATTAAGCAGCTAGCTCATCACTTTTCAACATTTTCTGGACTATTTTCCTGACTCTTGGAGCTTCTGGGTCCAGGCAGACTTCCTTCCCATTCTTTAACTTGGCTCTGCAAGAGAAAATAGAATTTTTGTGTGCTTCTTGGCCTTTCAGATGGGATCAATGGGGCTGAACGAAAGAGTGGTGGTGAGGACCGAGGCGGAGGGCTTCTCTAATGAGTTAATAATACAGTAGCATGGACTTACATCACTTCGACTTTGGAGCAATGGGGTCCTGCCCTGGTGACCTTCAGATTTTGGATGTTACCGAGATTAACGCCAGAGGTTGTCTTTACACACGTGCAGCGAAGTTCCAAGTACCGCTCAATGCCCATGCTGTCAGCTAGGATAGAAACCGAGATGTATTAATGGTCCTAGTTGTGGATTGTAGCCCTCTCACAAGGCCACTGTGAATTTGATCTGAAACCGATAGTCAAGCACCCAAGCCCAAGGCCTGGCACAAGACCAAGCGCCCACTAAGAGCAGCTCCTGCGTATAGACGTGCGGTATAATGGCCTTCCCCAGCCCCAGCAGCCCCCGGCAGTCTCCCCCAGGGCAGCTGCAGCAGGAGAACCACAGCCACGGGAAAGCAGGGGCCCCACCTTCCGCTTCCCTGAAGCTTCTCTTACTTTCCCTGGCGGCGGAGGGACCCAGCACAGTCAGGAGCAGTGAGAGCAGCAGCAACAGCTGTAAGGCAGGAGCAGAGGTGGGCCTGGGTCCGAGGCTCATGGTGAAGGGCACTGAGCGGGAGCTGTTCCCAGAGCCGGGCGACCTCAGCGCTGAGGGTGGGCTGCGGCCCAGGAGTCCACCGCTCAGTGGCTTCCAGGCTCTCCTGATGTCTTTTATACACACCCCCTCAAGCCAGCAAAGAGAAAAGGGATAGGGCCGGGGGAAGTGAGAACATGTGGTAATATTTGTATAAGGATAATTATGTTGTGCCCAACCCAGATAAAACACCAGGCAAGTCAAAGTTCCTGCTAAATTTCATCTTACACATTACTTCACACTCACACTCCCCCTTTCTCGGTACCGTCCCCCTTACACATATTAAACACCACACTTAGGTAAGAGCTGGGCTGAAATAGAACATATCTCTTCTTTGTGTAACTATGAAATATGGCTTGCCTGTCCTATAATGTAATTTATGTGAGGCCAAACAGGTGCTTTATGAGTACCTGAAAGCATGAATAGGTGACTTTGAAAAGAGAATTATCTTCCCTTTGTAGTTACCTTGGAAAGCAGATGCTCTTATCTTGTTTGCTGATAAACCTTGGGATTCATTTGCCGTATATGGATAAAATGAACTAATTCCCATCAAAGCCTCACTTTGCATATTAGTTTATGGGGGGTTTTCTGTCTTTGAAATGTATTATTTTTGTAATTTTATTCAGGAAGTAGAAGCAAACATCTTCCCTTGTGTTATAAAATAAACTACTTTTTCTACTGTCTGAATATGCCCTAAAAAGCCAGACCCAGCATCATTATTTTTCCTCTTCTTTTTAATCTAACAGAGAAATATATACTACAATTTACTGTAAAAGATTCATAGACTGCAGATGTATGTGGAATAAAACATGCAAGTTTCTCTTTATTATTATTTCACATTCCCACTCTACGGTGGTAACCATCAGTAATAATTTAACTTTAGTGTTCTGTTCTGTCTTCATTAATATATACATATACAAATATATATACAGATACATATACAGATACATATACAAATATATATACAGATACATATACAAATATATATACAGATACAGATACATATAGATACGTATACATATACAGATACATATACAAATATATATACAGATACATATACAAATATATATACAGATACAGATACATATAGATATGTATACATATACAGATACATATATAAATATATATACAGATACATATACAAATATATATACAGATACAGATACATATACAAATATATAGAGAGATACATATACAGATACATATACAGATACAAATACAGATACAATACACAGAGACACATGGAATACACAGAGATAAGCATATATACGTAGAGATAGACATGGATCTTTTTATATAAATGGGATCATTATACAGCTTTTGTCCTTCAAAAATATGTCTTCAGCATCCTCTCATGCTACCTCAATGTAGTTTTGCCCATTCCTTTAATGGCTGTGTTGACATTCAGTGGCACTGGCAATCATTGTCCAACCTGTCTTATTGGTGGCTTTAAGGGCGTTTCCAGTTTTGCACTAAACAAATGCAGTAAGATCTTTATTCCTTAATTCTCAGACCCTAATTAAAGGTCTTGATCTCAAACTCCACTTGATACAGACAAAGCCCCTCAGAGACAGAGGCGGACCTACGCATCACGGGCTGGCTTGTATGTGTTATTGTCCGGAGGACCTCTGTTCCGTGTATAAGACCTGCCTCCTCGGTGGAAGGCAGAGGCATGTCCAAGGTTTTTTTGCACGTCTCGTGCGTCCTGTAGGGTACTCGGTAGCGCAATATATAGCGGGCCCTCAACAGCGTTAGTGAATAAATCGGTGAGTATGTATCACCTGAAGGGGAGTCCTCTCTTTGCTTCCTAATCAGCTGCAATTCTCAAACCAGACTCCGGTGGCCCAGAGTACCTGTGATATCAAAAGGTGGTTTGGAAGGCTGGTCATAAAGAGTAAGGCCCTGGCCACAAGTTGTCTTCCTCTTACAACTATATTCAAATCTTATACAATATTTAAACTTCCAATTTTCTTTTTGCTTAATTTTTATAGCTTTAAAATTCTAGAAGAAGCTCTCAAAATATTAAATGTACAAAATTACTTTCTATCAAAAGAATGATTGTAGTAATTAATTTTCCCAAGCTTTAAAAAAACCTTATAAAACAATTTTTTCTATTATAAGTTACAAGCTACATCTCCTTAAGTTCTTAGTTCCTGTTTTTCAATGTATTCCTTATTTTTCTCCATCCCATTTGTTTTCTTCTTATAACTTACAGTCTAGCAGTAAAACATATTAAATTAAAATGATTTTCCACCTCTTCCAAACCAGAAATTCATAGTTTAAGAACAAGCTTAAGGAAAAGCTTAAACTGGACATTAGCATCCTTCTAAAAGCTGAGATGTGGAGTGAACTGTGGAGAGAATCTCAACAGAAAACAGAGTGAGGAAAGCAAACTTCTTTGTAAGTCTTTCTGAGTGATGACTTTATAGCCTTTCGCCATCACTGAGACTGATAATATTGCTAATTTTCAAACCAGATATGTTTTAATTCAAATATAAGCTCAAAACCATTTCCAGAGCAAGATAGAAAGGTTTTTAACATTATTCATAGCATCTTCTTTTTTCTGTCCATCACAACCCCCATGGTGTACAATATTTATTGGCATCATTGAAACTCAAACTTGGATTCAAGTTTCTTTCCTGGTTCATTTAATATAATTACTCAGAAGTTCCCGGTTCTTTTGGGGAAACAATATGGGAAGTCTTTTAAACTAATGATGCTGTTTGAGTTAGTGGTACCAGGAAAGAGGAATGTGTGTAGCACAGGATCACCAAGTCATTGTCTTAACCAACAACTGTATTTTGTCACAAAAGATACATTGTCAGCAAGGTTCATGAGTAAGTATTAGCAAGTTTCTTGAGTCACTAAAATTTTACAAACTTATTAGTCAGCATTTGAGGTAAATGAATTTTTACTAGTTTTCATTTATTTAATAAATTTGGATTAGTAGTTATTATGTTCCAGGCATTACAAAATTCTCTTCATTGTGTGACTTAGCCACTTAACTATTTTTATTCAAAATGTGAGACCCCAAATATTTGTGCAAAGTCATGGAATATAAGTTACTAATCTCTTACTACTACTACTGATAATTGCTATTACTGTTATTTGCATAATTTTCTTTGGTATTCTTGAGCAGAAACACAATACAGGCGCTGATAAACTGTACAGAAATGTGTAACCAAATTTTAAAATCATTATTCAATCAAAAGAAGTTAGCTTTTAAAATTATAACTTAAATGAATGCTAGAGAGTTAGTATCAGAGGTTCTTGGGTATAAAAATAACTTGACAGTCTTTTTATGAGTTTTACATTGTCACCCTCGTGGGGTTTTTGGTTTTGGGATGTTTTTTGTTGTGTGTGGTTTTTTTGGTGGTGGTAAGTTATTTTATCTCTTTTTCCTTTAAGTCATTGTATAAATAGCAGAGTCATTCAGGAAACTAGCAAGTTTTCTAAAATTCAAAACAGAACTTATCTGTTAGCTATTTTAACAGAAAATAGCCAGAGACATTGGGTGACCGAATTCCATTAAAATTAAGACATATATTAACTCTGCCTGTTAAAGTGACATCTCCATGTATGAAGAAAATAAGCTATTTCCTGCAAATTAGTCATAAAAGCAACTGGTACAGAAGACCTCAGGGATAATAAAAATTTGGGTGAGTTTTTTAAAGCACTTGAATCGGTAGATTGAAGTCCTGCCAACAAAAGATCCCCTATAAGTGATGAAGTGAAATGTTTTTGTATAACTCTGAGTTGGCAAGAATAATCCAGGCCTCGGTTCCCCTGGGACTCATTCAGCTGCGGGGTGTACTGCTTGGAGGTGAAGCGTGGGGTGGGGTGGGGGCAGGGGGGAGGGTGAAGGAGTTGAGGAGGAATATCTTCCTGGGTGCTATTCATTATACAGGATCACTGCACTGTTTTGCAGCCTGAGCATTTTTATTCTGATTTTATGTTGATTAAATCATTGGCTGAACATTAGATGCATGATGTGCCTCTTTTAATCGTTTTTGCCGTGTAACAAGCCAACCCCAGACTTAGTGGCTTACAGCAACAGTTCATTACTTCTGACAACTCAGTATGCTAAGGAGAGGTTCTGCGGCTGTCACCGTCCTGAGCTCACTTAAGTGGATGTAATCAGAGGACAGCTGAAAAGCTGAGAAGTCCAAAACGGCCCCATTCGCACGGAGGTGGGTGGAGCTGGCTGCTGGCTGAGGTATCAGCTGGGACACATGGGTCCTCTTGCTCCTCCCCCTCTCTTAAGGATCTTTATTTTATTTCTCAGGAACAACTAAAGAATGAATGAGAAGAAGGAAGGAAAAAGGGAAGCAGGGAGAGGGAAGGGAAGGGAGGAAGGAGAAAGGAGAATAGGTGAGGGAAAGGAAGAAAGAAAAAAGAGAAAAAGGACAGGAGTCCTTCCTTCTCCTCCCTCCCCCTTTTCCATTTTCTCTTTTCTTTCCTCTCCTCCACCTCCTCCTTCTCCTCCCCTGCCCCTGAAACCATGATGCAACACCCAGACGCCCTTTTAGCACCATGGCTTTCTTTACCTGCTGGAATAGTGGGCACAGAAAGCTCACAACTGAGGCCCTCTCTGGGCATAGCCCATGGCCTAAAGGAGCTGTCGCACCCAAAGCTATGCCCACCCTCCAGGGGTGCCTCATATCTAATGGCTGGTCAATGGAAGGATACAGAGATGCCTTCCTTGGTGCAATTTGGAATAACCCTGAAAGGCCATCCCAGCTCCAGAGCTTCTCATAGAACCATCTGAATCTTTTGTCTTAACAGCAACTCTTCCCCTGCCCAACTCTGCTTCTGTACTTCCTGCAAGGCTGAAAGCATCTCATCTTTGTAATTTCTATATCGTAAGGATCCTGCACAGGGTCCATTATGTAACAGGCTTATCAATAAATGATCTCAAACCTATTGATATTCGATAGATGAATGTTTATAAGAAGGAAAATACATCATACATTTTGATAATGTTAGCACATAATTGATAAAAATATAGCAAAATATGAATGCATTGATTCCAGAAGCTTCCTAAAAAAGAATGGTGGAAAAAATTCTTAGAAGCACTAAAATTAATCATTCATTCCTAGGTGGAAAGAATATAGATAAATCTGAAAAAATAAACTGTTAAGCTCTCAGTCTTCTCATTTGTCAAGGGAAGTTTGAATTAGGAGACCTGGGAAAGCAATTAATATTTATCAAGCATCTCCTTGTTCCAGAATAGCTCTTAAAGCCTGAGAGATATATATTATTGTACTGATTTTACAGATGAGAAAACTGAGGGATGAAGATGTCAAATAAACTGCCAAAGTCGCATAGCTAAAAATACTCAAAACTAGATTTGAAATACAGTTCCTCTGACTTTGTACTGCACTACAAATTATAAAGAAATATCACTGGCCTCTCTTGCTGAAAATGAATCAACTATTTTTCTTTTGATCCAACTCTAGAGGTGGGTCAAAAACAATCATCATGTAACCAAACCCCAAGTTCAGCCACCTGCTGCCATAAAGCCAAGCTCGTGAAGCAGGTGCTGGTGAAAAAGGAAAAAGGTTTATTCAAGTGCTGGCATCTCAAGAAGATAGAGGAATGTTGTCCAAAGCCCATCTCCACATCTCAGTGTAGGTAGAGGTTTTTATAAGGAGGGAGAAGTAAAGCAAAACAAAAAAGATCATGGCGGGGGGGCGGTTAAAAGGTTCTCTACATGCAAGTCAGCACAGTCCATTCCAGTAAAGATCTCAAAACCGGTCAAGTGATGGTCTGGCGTGCGTCATCCTGGTCTTCATCATCCTGGTTCTAAAGTCATTCTGGTTCTACAGTTGAAGGTTAGGAAATCTCCTGAAACTGGGATGACTGAAGGTCAGAGTCTGCATCTTCTGAAGTTGGTTCCTAGGATTCTTATACAAACATGCCATTCATCTACAAGCTACGTATTAGTCAGATTCAGCATTTTCAGAAAAAATGTGAAAAGAATGGTCGAGTGGGTTACAATTCCCGACTGTTACAATCATACACACTTATGTGTCAGTGGAAACATATTTATTAAGAACATGGATTTTTCAATGTTGGGGGTAATTTTGCAATGTCTCAATATTTAAACTTTCTAGAAACAAAATTTTATGCCTAAATGCTAGGTCTTTCTATGTTATTACTTCACTCTACATATTTGAAGTATGAACCGCCCTTCTGAAAAATATACTATTAATTTTGCTGACTAAAAGCCACCCATGACCACCTGCCAACAATTAGCATCATGTGCACTTTCCTTGTCTTCCGTGATTTAGTCAGGGAGGCAAACTGAAATCCCCAGATGCTCCTTCTGTCTGGTAAATTTCTCAATTGTAACATCCAGGAAGGACTTTTGAGGTTATGTACAATATGAGTTACCCAGAGCAATTCTTTTCCTTGTGCAAGAATTAAAACTATCATAGAAAAACAATACCACTAGTCATATTTATCATAGATCTTGTCATACCTTCAGTAATTGAAGAATAATGTGAATGTGTCACACCCAGAGGCATGCAGGAAAGTCTGGTAGAATGAAAGGCATTAATTACACATTGAAATTGTCTGGATTGGAGCAGTAACATAGAGTAGATTTTAGTTGACACTTGTTCAATTCCCAGTGATTTAATATATGAGAGTGTTTTAGGTGGATAACAGAGTGAAAATAGTATTTTTGGGGTGTGTGTGAAGAAAATATTAAGACATATGCCTAGAAGTCATACATTAGATTAATTTTTTCCAGATATATTAGTTCTTGAGTTCGCTAGTGGAGGGATCAAAAATTGATGAGTAACAACTGTCATTGCGGTTTTTGTATAGGTTATACTTCACTAATATACTGTAATTTATTTTCTTTATGGAATCACCAATTATAACATGAGCACGACAAATAGAATTGCAAGGATATTACCAATAGGTCTTATTCTATGATTTATAAACAAACTAAACTTATAATCTTTCATTTTGGAAAAGCAAAGATCTTAAATAACAATAAAGAAAGGTAAACCAGTGATATTTATTACTTTGCAAAATATGTATTTCACCCACTCAAAGGAAATTTAATTTGCTTTCATTATTATCAGGCATTTATTCATTGAGTATGTTGGGGCTGATATCCAAAATCAGGCGTTGTTTAAAACACTGAAATTTATAGTTTAAAATTTATGGTTTTTGATGTTTCCCCATGATTAGTGTATAATTCATAGGTTCAAACAAACAAACAAAAAGGTACTATTTAAAATAGTAAAAACAGACCTCAGAAGTTTAATATATATATATTTTTTAATTTGAGGTATTTTATACTTTCTATATTGTTGAAAAACTGTCAGTAAACCCATCTCTTTGAATCTACTCTCTAGGTTTTTTCATATCTCTGTATCTCTCTATCTCTGTTTCTCTCTCTTTGTGTTACATATATATGCATATATATATGCTAGTAAGTAATAAAATAAAATACATTAATTTAATTGATATTTCATGCATAAGGAGATGAAAAGATGTAGAATAACAGATTACACACAGATATCCTAATCACATGTTAGCAATACTAATATATACAAACACATGCCAATATAAGCATGTATAATGTATTAATTTAATTGGGGGGAATGTGTGTATAGGTATACTAATTGGATTACTCTCTTTTTTTGTTGTTTTTGTGCTTTTCCTAAGAATGAGCTATTTACATGAAATTGCTGTTTTAATACTAGAGAGACAGTGGGGTTTGTTTGGCCTAGACCAGGCACCTGTTTAAGCATCTACTGTGAGCTAAGCACTGTCCTAGGAACTGAGATGAGCATGATAAACATTTTCTCTGGCCTGATGGGGCTTACAGTGAAGTTGGAATAGACATTAGACACTATAGTCAGGATGGTGACAGAATGTTATAAGGGAAAATAATAAAGTTTTTATGAGAATATAAAAAGGGCATTAATGTGGTGAGGGAGAGGGTCAGAGAGGCAAACTGGCCTCAAAGGAAGGGTGGGAGTCAGCCAGGTGGAAGTGAGGGGTAGGTGTTATAGGTTGAGCGGGCCACATGGGCCACAGGCCTTGTTGGATTACTCACAGGCAAGAAGGAGAAAAGAGGGTAAAGGAATTTAATTTACTTGACATTTACCATGAACCAGGTTATTGATTTTAAGACACCTGAGCCTCTGGATAATTTATTAATTTATTAAGCCTATCTGTGTCAGGTATGGGAGATGAAGAGGGAAGTGAAATATGGTCGATGTTCTGGGAGAGCTCTTAGGAAAGTAGGGCAAGGACACTTCTAAACAAGTAAAAGCAATGCAGTATTTGCCGTTGAAATAAGTTCAAGTATCTAAAAGATGCTATGGAAACGTCAAAATAGAAACCGTGCATTCTGTGAGGAGTGTCAAGGAAAACTTTGTGAAGGAGGTATTGTTCGAGCTGAGTGCAGGAGGATGCGTAAGCTTCCTCCTGGAGGCAGAAGCAGAAAGCCACTGGCAGATCTAGGCCCTCGCAAACACAAACACAAACGCACAGATCCGGGGAAGAACTAAACCCCTGCCTGCAAAGATGGGAAGGAAAAGTGAGGCTGAAGGAGGAACCGGGAGTTGGACGAGACTGCATGTAATTTGCCTTGATTCCCGACTTATTTCATGCCTGGGGAGTAGGAAGCCAGTCGAGGCTCTAAGGTAAGGAAGTCTCACCTATTAGTGTTTTCTGAAGAACCCAGAGGGCATTGGTCCTATCAAAGGGGTAACTGGAAAGGCTGAACTAAGGCAATGGCTTTGGGAAATAACGGTCCTTCCTGCTAGACAGAGAGCAGTTAATTTTCAAAATAAGGTAGAATTAAAGAAAAATACTATTTTTATAACAGTATAAGAAGGAAGAAGCAATGTGAACAAATTTTTTAAATCTTTTATTTTTTTCCAAAGAATAAAAAGTGCTATAAGCCAATGAAATACACAGTTAAAAAGTACAATTTTAACATAGTAAATGTGATACATCTGTGATTCTTTATAACAAAATGGTCAAATCCTTAAAAGATATAACATAAGCATCTATAAATCTTAGCAGTGCTGTGCATTTTAAAAACAAAAACAAAGTGATGAGTTTATATTCAAATAGCTCACATATATTTTCAAAAATATCAGAGTACAGATCATTAAGATTGCCTTATTCTTAAGAAAACTAAAATAATGTATTTATACAAAAACTAGCAATAAGGAGTTTACCTAAGCAAATATTTAGTGATTAAAATCCTAGTACTCCTAATAAAATAGTTAATAAATACAATATAAAAGTCAAAGCTTAATGAGTAGGTCATGACATTATGCCATACTAAGAAGACATCAAATGTCTAAAGGTGTAGGAAAATAATATATTACTCCTTATAGAATTTAAACATTTCAAAATTCTAAATAAGGGAATATATTCTACATGCATAGCTGTATGATGTCCCCAGCTTTCCAACGCAATATAACTGAAACAGGATCCCAGGGTAAAGAGTAGGGAAATTCTCTAAGCTACTCCTCAAGAAATAATACTAAAATAACTACAATTTCATGGGAAGGGAGGGGTAACAGTTTCTCTTCATATATAGCATTCCAAAGAAATATCAGTCACCTATTAAACCCACAGCCTTTTCAGTAACGTTCTAGGGAACATATTCTAGAAAGAAACTAGTCACCTTGAAAGAATAACAACCAGTGAGTGATTTCTGACTCACTGTTTAGTCAATTACCAAAGGTTTCAATAGCACAGCAGATAAAATAGCAGCAATTAAGTAGCAGTAAATACTATGTAACACACTTCATAAGCTGAGCAGAAAGCCGCCGGGCAACCCTAGGTCCCTTCTCCCAGGCATCTCCCAGTGGAGAATTCAGGAGGAACCCCAACCCCTCGGAGAAAACCGGCCTCTGCGTTTCGTCTCCGCTGGGACAGAGACCCCAGAAAACTGCTCCGCTGCAGAACTGAGCATTTTTCCAGTGCACGATCCTTTCCCTTAGTTTTTCTGCTTTCCACTGTTGAGAAAAAAAATTACATCCGTTTAACCAAATTTCCACACTCCTGTGCACACCAACTCGTTTTCAAACCACCGAGCTTAAGATCAGTAAAGAGCGGAGGGCGGACTCGGGACTATACTCGCAAAACCCGTGCGCCTTAGTCACGGGTCCCGGGGAAGATGGGTGCTCAAGGCCTTCCCAGGACGTTCTGCAACAGCTTTCCCTTGGGTCCTGAGCAACCTTTTTTAAAGAATGGGCTGGAGGTGGTAGCCGGGCCCACGCACGGAATCAAGGCCCTTGGCTCCACCCCAAGGGAGGTGAAGCCCAGGAAGATCAAAGCCGCAGGTACCTGTCCAGCATTTTCTGGATGATTTTCTTGATCAAAGGCGCTTCAGTGTCCAGACACACTTGCTTCCCGTTCTTCAAGGTGGCTCTGCGGGAGAAAAGAAAGGAGATGCAGGCGCGCTGGCGTCGGGTGGGACCCAGGCCCGGCCGGGCGCGCACTCACATCAGTTCCACCCTGGGGCACTGCGGCCCGGAGGGGACCATCTCCAGGCTGCTGATCATTTTGGGGTGGACCTTGGGCATGAGGGTGAGGCACACGCAGCGCAGCTCTCCGGCTACNGGCAGTTCTGCAGGGTGTCATCCTCGGGCAGCTTCTGGGGAACAGAGCGCCCTAGGAGGTGCCCCCATCTCCATCCAAAGGGGAAGACTGGAACCAAAGCAGCGGGAGGTCTGACTCTGGAAAAGTTTATGATCTTCCTAATCCCTGATATGTTGTTGTTGTTGTTGTTATTATTATTATTATTACCCAAGAAGTAGGGGCCGCGATTGGGGCTGGCTGCACCGAGAGCCTGCTCTGCTCCTTGCAGGGGGCGGTCTGGGTTTCACACGTTGGTTCATGACCCTTTGAACCTCTGTAGAAGCCCAGACGGTGCGGTGGAAATGCCCGCGCTCCCTCTGCACGTCCGCGGCGGGAACAGGCTCCCAAGCCGGCCGCCGGCTGGAACCCGACCCTGTAACTCTGCAGCCTGGCCCCTGCGCCCTGGAGACCGGCCCTGCTCCCCCCGACGGCGCTGCGGACGGGGGGCCCCAGCCTGCCCACTGCGCCCTGGAGA